AAAGTCTAAAATTTTATGTATACTTTTGTTGACAGCCTATACGGTTCCGACTTCTGGGAATATGGTCATAACTGCTGCGACAGAGGCTTCTTCGAAAGCTTTGGCTGTTTGCCACGGACCTCTGGACCACTATGACTTTCTGATAAAAGCGCAAGAGATAAAGGATGATGAACATCAAAGAAGAGTCATGCGGTGTTTGCAGAAATTACACGAGGACCTTAAAGGATACAGCCTCGAGGCAGAGGGTCTGTTTTCAAAGGTGAGATTTGTGTGGCTGACAGTTAAAAACATGAGCATTTTATAAAATGATGGAAATGCAGTAGGGTACAATCATGAAACAGACTGAATTTCCCCACCAGTTTTTAAAATAAACTCTGTTGGAAGTCTGCTCCTGACCTCTTGAATGTTCCATAGCTTTTATTTACTTTCCTGTATGAGTGCTAGAGAATGCTGCCCAGTCTAAAAGAAAGCTTCTATGCACTTCAAAGCTTTTGCTGGTTCCTCTAGCTCAGGCCCAGGGATGAGCAGTGGGGAAGGGCCACTGATATGCTCTTGTCTTGTCTCTTTTCCCCCTGCCTGGCTTCTCCAGGCTTGGAATGAAGGGGATGAAAAATTAGAATGAAATAAGTGTTGGGGCCTTTTATGTGGTAGATCCTGACATGCTAGCTCTTTGTTGGGCACATTGGTGGGCTCTTTAAGACCACCCATGTGAACCTCTACACTGCTCTTATTCCCGATGACACCTTATGATAGGGCACTGCATATGCTAACATAATATTCATTGTATACCATGTATATTAAGTTCTTCCCTGGACATTTCCAAACCCTGCTCCGGAAGTTGCCTGTGGATTTGGGGGCTCCATTCTGTCTTGTGTACTCCAACCGGATCTCTTCGGGTGGTTCTCGTGGGATGCCCTCACTTGGCATCAGGTGTATCTGCGGAAAAACTGTAGCTAACGACTTTCTACCTTCAGCCCTCTCTTCAGCCCCACGTTTGTTTTAGGGCAACTTTGGCTTTTTCTCTTTTCTTTTAAAGTAATTCCCATACGCATGCATGGGAGTAGGGCCTCTCTGTAGAATGTGAGGGAACTTGTCTCCCATTTTCCTAGGCTTTGTGCATTTGTCAAAATTCTCAGACTAAAGGAGAAGACCCATCCTTCACCCCATTATAGAAGCCAGTGTTATTAAGCTGTATCAACTTTAAATGTTGAGCGATATTAATAGTAATGAGCTGAAATATCTGACAATCTAAGAAACCATTTTTCCTGTAATTGAATTGACCACCCTCTTACTTCCAAACAAAAATCTTTTTTTATTATAATAAGGTATTTGGTAAAACAACAACAACAACAACAAAAAATGCTGTATTAATCGTATTAGTATTTGATTTAAAAATTCAAGTGAAAACAATTTTAGTGGGGTAAGCATGATCTCTTGAGAGGACCGAAATGAAGGAGTTGAATCAGAATGTGTATGAATTGTTGACAGTAAAACTATAATCTGTTCTGTAAACTTTCTCACTATAAAATATGATCTGCTCTGTAAACATAACTCACAATAAAAAGTTTTAAAAAATTCAAGTGAAAACAATGTTTCTTTTAAAAAAGCCCTTGAAAGTATAATGAAGTCATCTTATACAGAAAAAGCTCATGATGTTAAAAACCTTTTGGTCACAAGGAATAGAGATTACTTTCGATTATAGGAAGAAAGGGGATTTAGAATACACAACATAGCAATGAAGACGATCTCCAGTACACAGCCAGGCCTCAGGGACCCTGAGCCTGCTGTCCTAGGACCAGTGACTGTCTGTTTGGATGATGGGACAAGTGTAATAATAGGTGCCTGTTGATTCTAAGAATCACCCATGCTCTCTACTTAGATCTGTTTACTCTGTTCCTCTCCCTCCATGTTTGCTTCCACTTGAATTCTTTTTACCAACTTCTTAATTCTCTTTCAGTGTGGATCTGCAGTTTAAGTTCCTGAATGAGGATCTGATAGGCCTGCCAATCACTTTATCCCACTTGGGAAGAGCTTTTGCAGTGGGTTTTTCAGAGGCCACTGATCAACATGCAGATTGGATCTTTGCACAAGTCACCATCCAGGGCTGCTCCTGTGAGCATGACTGTTTCTCTCAGGAGTGAGCTGTGAGGATGGCAGGCACTAGGATCCACCAATCCAGCACAATGGTTTTAGAAAATCATGAGGAATTATCCTTCCTATCTGACCTTTCCTCTTTTTGCCTTCTCTCTATATTTCTAAAATCTGTAGATGAAGAAAGTACTCTTATGTTTGGAAAATAATAGACTGCTTATTTTTTTATATCTGAACTGCAGCTGTTGGGCAATCTTCTTGTGGCTTGGCTATTTCACTTTATCTCTGCTTCTCTCGCTTGTTTAATCTCTTATATCTCAAAAGAGATCGACTCAAGACAAATCCTGTGCTAACCCTTCTTCATTAACATAACAAAGATAGCCCTGTCCCAAACGGGATTATTACCTTAGGCATAGAGGCTTGAATTTAAAACATATGTTGGATGACCCCCAAATCCAACTCCAAACATTCCATCGTTTGACACCCTCAAAATTCATGCCCTTGGTACACGCAAGACATATTCATTCCTTCATATCATCCCAAACGTTTTGAATCAACTTCAAGTTCAAAATCTCATCTTCTGAATCATCAAATGGAATATAGGTGAGACTTTAGGCATATTCCATTGGGGGAAAATTCCTCTTCATATATGAACCTGTGAAATCTATATTACAAAAGATCTGTTTCCAAAGTACAAAGGTGAAATAGGTATAAGGGGGATAATTTCCATTACAAATGGGAGGATTTAGAAGGAAAAAAGGGATAACAGGCACTGAACAAGTCCAGAAATCAACTGAACAATTATGTTCGCTCTTAAAACTTGAAAAGCATCCTCGGCTCTTTGGAATCATCTGGGCACAGGCCCCACCCTCTAGACTCAGTGTTGGGCCTGCTCTCTGGACTCTGGGTTGAGGCCTCTTGGCTTGAGTTCAACCTTCCAGGCTCACTCAGCACTTTGCACTTGGCTTTACAATCTCACTTGGCTTTGAGTGGTTCCATACTCCTAGTCCATCTGAGTGTGATCCCAGGCCTGAGGGGCAACTCGGCTTCTTCTGCTCTTTCCAACTGTCCTGCTGATCTCCGAGATGCTCCAGGGAAGGGTTCTTTTCCTGGAAGACAACAGATGTAGCTCCTTTGGCCTCTTTCCCACCTGTTGAATTCCAAGAGACAGACAACAATCTTTTCTTTTATTCTTTCCCTGTCCTTGGTAGTCTAAATTTATAGATTTTTCTGCTATGGTAGTAGTTGGTTTAATCCATCAACCAACCACAGGCCTTATCTCTTTAACAAAAGATCATGTAGTCATGTCCTTGGTCAGAATTCTAGGATACTTGTTTTTGGTTTATACAACAGAATGTCCCAGATCTTTAAGTTTTCAATTTGCACAGTTCATTTTGAAGACTAGTTCATCTCACATTTTACTCTTTAAAAAAAATCATTTTATTGGGGGTTTGTACAACTCTTATCACAATCCATCCAGCCA